ATCACGATTTAACGGTTATTTCAATTTCGATTTTGATGATTTTTTATAGCTACACTCCTTGACCCTATATGAATACAATGACCCAATTTGATCGTCAATTTAAAATATAATACATTAAAAATATTATATTTTTCTAACAAAATAATTTTTTTAATTAATTAATTTTTATTTTTGTAAAGACTTTGCGAGACGAAGTTTAGACATTCGTCGCGCAAAGTCATGCAAAGATTTTTATAAATTTTTATTTATTTTTTATTTTTGTAAAGACTTTGCGAGACGAAACACACTTCGTCGCGCAAGACTTTGTGCACCGAAATTTATTGTTTCGTCGCGCAAAGTCATCTAAATATTTTTAAAAATAATTTTTTATTTTGTTTATTTTTGTAAAGACATTATGAGACGAACCACACTTCGTCGCGCAAGACTTTGTGCACCGAAATTTATTGTTTCGTCGCGCAAAGTCATCTAAATATTTTTAAAAATAATTTTTTATTTTGTTTATTTTTGTAAAGACATTATGAGACGAACCACACTTCGTCGCGCAAGACTTTGTGCACCGAAATTTATTGTTTCGTCGCGCAAAGTCATCTAAATATTTTTAAAAATAATTTTTTATTTTGTTTATTTTTGTAAAGACATTATGAGACGAACCACACTTCGTCGCGCAAGACTTTGTGCACCGAAATTTATTGTTTCGTCGCGCAAAGTCATCTAAATATTTTTAAAAATAATTTTTTATTTTGTTTATTTTTGTAAAGACATTATGAGACGAACCACACTTCGTCGCGCAAGACTTTGTGCACCGAAATTTATTGTTTCGTCGCGCAAAGTCATCTAAATATTTTTAAAAATAATTTTTTATTTTGTTTATTTTTGTAAAGACATTATGAGACGAACCACACTTCGTCGCGCAAGACTTTGTGCACCGAATTTTATTGTTTCGTCGCGCAAAGTCATCCAAAGATTTTTAAAAATAATTTTTTATTTTGTTTATTTTTGTAAAGACATTATGAGACGAACCACACTTCGTCGCGCAAGACTTTGTGCACCGAATTTTATTGTTTCGTCGCGCAAAGTTATTTTGAGTGACAATGTTTTGTCGTCGCGCAAAGGTTTGTCGCGCAAAATGGCTTTGTGCGACAATTTGTGTTTCGTTGCGCAAAATTTAGTCGCGTAAGACTTTGAGCGACGAAGTTTAATTTTCGTCGCGCAAAGTCACTTTGAGCGACGA